GAGCTGACGTTTCCATTGAATTTCACATAGCCTTGCTTTCCCAAAAGTTGTTCTCTTCCTGGGTGGACTGGAGTTTCGACCTCGAATTGGTCTTATCAACACCCTCACTGTCGCGGTTCGAATCCCGCTGAGGGTGTTGATAAGACCAATGCGAGTTCGAAACTGCAGTCCATTCCAGACGAGGGATGAGAACAACTTTTGGGAAAGCAAGGCTATGTGAAATTCAATGGAAACGTCAGCTTAACTCATATCATCGTGGCCGTCAGCTCAACTCATAGCATTGTGGGAAAATTCTTCTACCAGTCCTTCGTCAACAACTTTTGGTCGAAAAAAGCAAGGTTGAAGAACAACTTTTGGGAAAGCAAGGCTATGTGAAATTTAATGGAAACGTCAGCTCAACTCATATCATTGTGAGAAAATTCTACTACCAGTCCTTCATCATCTTACACGAAATAGGGTGAATACATCTCATGTACCACCTCCACAATCCGACTTTCGAAATTATCATACCTACTATGGACTCCGGACGACTAGTTGCGTTCCTCTAAGTCTTCCTACCAATATGAACAAGTTGCGAAAACAAGGTCAGCCAACTTCTATACAACGAAAGGAGACTGCGACCACACAAAAAGCCACACCATCTTGGTTTTCATACCTTCGATTAAAATAGAGGGAATACACTTCATACATAGTATGGAAGTTGCTTGACCTAGAGGAACACACATAGTCCGGAGTCCATAGTATGTGTGATAATTTCCAGAGTTGGATTGTAGATTTGGTACATTCCCAGACGTTTCGCTGGCATCGTCATTCAGACTTGCCTTCTGTCCTAAAGTATTCACCTATCCTTTATCCTCGTATAACCCCTTCACTATTAGTGTGCTGATTACTGAGTACTGATTCAAGTCTCTTACTCTAGGTCCTATCAGAATCTTCCTCTTGCCCCAGATGATCCGTATCTATGCTTTATGGTTCAGGGATTTCATTCGACCACTACCACCATATCTGTGCCTTCCGAGGTAATAATTCCCATACTCGGTATCAAGCCTTTGATAACATGCATCCTCCCGCCTCACTCAGCGGGAAACTAACTTGAGGCTATAGATCTCTTTATCACCTTTAGACATGTTCACCGGGTAAGTCTCATTGCTAGGCCTTTACTTTATGGACCACGTCTATGATCAAATATGTCTACTGTTAGCCAACTTGCTCTAGTTTCCACCGTATCAAGCATGCTCCTATCCATAATGGCCAAAACTTTTGTGTGCCAAAGCTAAAATGTTGTGGTTCTACTTGTTTTGATTAGGCTCATTGATTTAGGATCCTTCTTCTATGGCCTCCTCCCGCAATTTCTTTTCCTAATGTCCAAAATATGTCCTTGTTCTAGTCGTCTTCTTTTTGGTGATCTCTGTTGCTTGGTATACTCCGAGTTTGCTTAAGCAATATGCAAAGATTTTGCTAATCCTGCCTTCTTCAAGTCTCCCGTTCATTAGATTTCTTTAAGTCACGACATTTCTGTCGATTTCCAGTCGATTTCGTGTCCCGTCCGTGCAATGTGTTCTGCTAATTCAGATCTTTCCCTATTCACGTTTCTGTAGAGTCTTTTGTGTTCCTTATATCGTAGGTTGACTTTTCTTACTATTTCACCGGCATATTCCTTCTTACAGTTGCCACATTCGTTGAGATAAACTTCCAAGCAATCCAGTTTATCAAGCTTCTCATGTTGCGACGGTAGGCTGGCGAAGAGTGTTTCCTTTTCCGGTGTAATCAGCTTGATATTCTATTTTATTAGTATAGGTCGCAATTTTTGACTCAGGAGGGCAGGCAAATCCCATTTTTGTTGTCTTCCCGATTCCTGATCCTATTTTCATTAAATCCTAGTTGAAATATGCTCTTTATGACCCCTATATTTCTTTCTAGAAATTCTCTGGTCTACCCGTTACTAAGGCTTGTCCCAGAACTCTGTTCGTCAGTCTTAAGCTTCTGTTGATCAAACTCGTTGACTGCCTCAACCTGAACTTCGTATAAAGGCCAAATGGCGGCAGTACAACGCGAATCAGCCGATGTATTCTGGTGAGATTGACCGACGAATCTCTTCATCATGTATTTTCATACGAAATGAAGGTCTTCTCATCAATCTTATCTCAGAAAAGCTGTCGAAACCCGCAATTTCTTGTTTGGATGACTTAATAATTATTCAATAATTACTTATAGGTTTAAACATTCTTGAAATAAAATAGAAAGAGAATCATTTGGTTGCTATAATCTATTTTCCATCCATGAGTAAATACACATAAATGTGTGCATGTGTATTCGGGTGCGAATCTGAAGCGATAAGTAAGACATACCGTACCATCTGTATCATGTCACAAACAAGATAATCTTTAAATAAAGACATTTGTAAAGATTATTATAATCATAATGATTTTTTATATAATAAAATCTATCAAGCAATCATAAGTTATCCGTACCCAATTTCCTACTCCTATTCCCTACATTCAAGGTATTCCATAATTTAATGATTTCAATTGATTCCATTGTTTTGTACTTTGCATCAAACGAGCCATAATCGGCAAACCGATGGGATCGTAAAGTTTGTCCTGTCCTCTGGACCCAATAATATTTGTTGCATGGACAACAGGTCATCTCAACATAACGGTGACAGGATGAATAGACTATTTTGTGGCAACATTTTCTAAAAGCGGGCCTGACCAAAGGTACTTACGTCTTCTTGATAAGCATTTCTGTTTAACCCTTGTTTATAAGCTCCTCTATCTTTTTTTAGAGAAGACGCTAGTACAAATGCAACATACTAGAGAGCATCAAGCTCATTATCAGCCTGATTCTCTATTAAAGCGATATAACTTTCAATTAGTGCTCGATGCCAAGTACATTTGGTGTGAGTATGCTTTGAGAATATCGGCAATTTATGAATAAGAACTGAGCCAACCCAGGTACTTTAGGGTGATCTGATGAATGACAGTCGTCTTATTCTTACAGTGATACAAACAGGTCTAACAAACCCACTCCATTCCATGATTGCCGATAAGGCAAACTTGTCTTGGCCATTAATGTTAAGGACGCAACTTATTTTTCGTGTGAATCGAGGCGAAGATGTCTCCTAATACCATTGCGAGAAGAAGCCGAGCATCAGTTCTTAAATCACATGAAACGACTTTCTCATTCTGAAAATTTCAGATATTATTTTAACACCTCCACGTCAATTGTAATAGCAAATGAATGCATGCTTTATCGAAAATCTCACTTTAACTGTAATCTTGCGAAGCTCTTATTTGTCGTGAAGTTCGCATCTACCTTTTGTCCCCTAGTCCACGTGGTTTTGTGGCCATCTTACTCATATTGCCATGTTTCGAATCCCTGTGAGGGTGCTTACTTGATATAGCAATCCTGTTCCGGTGAGAAAACCTTTTGTAAAGCAATGCCAAGTGAAATTCTACGGCATCCTAGGCCCTAATTGTAGTGCTGTGAAAAAACTCAGCAATGACTACTTAAATCAACATAAGCGATCAAAGAGGACTGAGATTTAATGCTATAGAATAAGTGTTCAGTCATATCTTATCTTCCCAAAAGTTGATATCCACCAGTCTGGAGCTTCAAATGGTCAGAGATGAAAATGCGCTGAAATTAGTCTTGCAAATATAAAATTAGATGAAACCTTTTGGTCAGCAAGACATGCTCTTTCGATGTGGCATAACCAAGACAATCTTAATCAAACCCGTTTACAAGAAAAGCAAGTCAGCCTATTATTGGGGACTCGGAAGATTCATCTGGAACCCGCAACAGCCTTCGTCTTGTAAATATAGTGGATGGCAAGATATATTGGCTAGCAACTGAGCCCCTTATGAATAGGTTTATACCACACGGATTATACGAAATATAATACAGCTTAGCAATGCGATCTCGGGATACTTATCTGGAGCCAGTAAATCTTTACAAATACTATTGAAAATTCAAAGATTTTGCAACGCAAATCTTCATACCATAGCGATAGTGGGATGGAAATTTTGCTGGGTCACAACTGAACCATCTCCAAATAGGTATAACGATGACTTCACAAGAAGTAAAAGCTTGTGAGATTTATCTGGACCTTGTTACTATTTCCACGTACAGACCGAATGCTCAGGGATTCTAAAGCACCAACCTTCATCTTGTAACTATGCTGGAATGGAAATGTTATTGGTTACCAACTTCGCCACATTCGATGACACATACCCACAAAAGTCTTGAGCGAACACTTTTACACGAAATGCTAATCATCTTATCAATAAAAGTTTGCGACATTCTACTGTAATCAATTAATATTCCCACACACACTCAGCTCTAAGTTCACCTGATACATCTACACAGTGACTCACAAGACGTCCTGCTCGATTGTTGTGTAAATTCATTAACATTCTGGCTAGCTCTGGCGAGCCCCGAGGGTAGCTCTTCTCCTTTTCACGGACATCGATGAAGGTCTTGGCAAATCTGTAGGCATACGCGATGTTGTCGCCGCAACCGCCCCAAATCCAATCGCGGTGCAGCTGATCCGGACGCCCGGCTTGGCTACAGCCACAGGCTGTGAGTCGGGCTTCTTTGCAGCTACGCGCCAACGCATGGACCACTCCTGCCGCCGAGATGGCATGGGCGAAGCTGGCCTCACGGCTGCCTATCACGAGAGTATCACAGGGTATGCGTGGTTGTGTGAAGAACGCGGGTTGAAGTGAGGGATTAGGGAGGAAAGTCAGTTCGGAGCATACACAACAGATGTACAAATGGGTGAACAAGAGGTCGGAATGTTGTATATGAAGGTGAATTCGGTCAAGAAGGAAACTTAATCACATTTTCGGCATGAATGGGAACTATTTTCGTTGTAAAAAAACCGTTTGATTTTAACGAAAGAAAAGTTGGGTTTCGAGGAATCTCTTGTTTCACAATTGTTGAGCTTACTTCCATTTCGAGTGAAAGTGTTGGGTAAAGAGATTTGGAGGTCGGTTCCACCAGAAGACGACGGCGGATTCCTCTTGACTAGCTGTCGATTGGCTTTGCTGGAACATTCAGGCTGACGCTGTTTGCGAGGCAATCTTCTTCGATTCCGGTGAAAAGGTGCTAAGCTTTCGTCCGTCATATGACGAAAATCCTCAGAGTTAGGTATCATCGTCACAACGAAATTCAAGCTAACGAGTCAAGAAAAGTCACCGGCAAATCCCTAAAAAGTGGTATATATACTCTACATCTGGCCTCTTTGATCAAGTATAAACTGATTTCGTTAGTTACAATTATGTTTCAACCTCGAAGCCTGTGAGTGTGTTTGTCTTTGTATGTGTATGTGCCTGTTTGTGTTCGCTTATGCATGAAATAAGCAGTGATGGCTTGAAGTGATTAGCACAGCAAAAGGTAACGTTTGTTTTCGGCCATCAAGGTTTAATGACCCTTATCTCCCCTTTTCTACAAAACGGTCTTGAGGGAAACTACGACACTTTCTTCAGTTATGCCCACTTTTAGAGAGAAAGTTGTTAATGTGCTCGCTTTTAGGTTGGAGAGACTTGTCGTCGCATTCGACAAAGGGTGGCTGAAAAGAATAGCGCCTGCAAAGGCTGTTGGGTTCGAAAATCGGAGCTTGCTGAGCACTTGTCGTTTTGCTGATTATGATACGTAAAATTAGAGAAGCCATAGAAATAAATCGAATAGGAAATATCTTGAATGTAAGGAATACCGGCAGGAAGATAACTAAAAATTACTTTTGCCTAATTATTAGACTGAAGGAAAGAAAGAGAGTTGAGCCCCTTGCGAAAAGTAGGCGACGCAACTAGTCTTTTTTTTTATTTTTCGCATTAAAGTATTGTTTCGAGACTACCAGTAAATCAGTAGTATGAGATGTATTCACCCAATTTCGTT